CATTCTTCCCCACCAGCCTTTGAGAAATTATGTAGAATTATGCACGCACGGATCCACGCATTCGCCCTTTTCGCACTTGACACCCCACGTAAGATTATCCTGATTTCTTTTAAAGACTGGAATATGCCTTTAAGCATACCAATACTTTGTTCGATAATGACCCTCCACTTAGATAATTCTTGATTGAATGCTTCTTGATTATCCCTCAAGTGGCGACCAACAGAGCGTTTGAAAGGTGTGATTACATGGGGAGATAAGGTATAACCTGAATCTGCCAAGAGAAACTCTTCCTCGTTCATGAAATTGGCAGGATCCGTGAAGAGCTGGGTAGAAGTCAGTTAAACTCCATCTCATCCATTAAGCTTACCACAAACAAACTTACTAAAGAGGAGCGATAAACCCTTTGATCATGAGCCGAGCCACACCAACCAAGTTCATAGAATCGGATTGACTTGTGTACGTCACACACTAACATCACATTGAAAGCGTAAAAGTTTTTCCGTGTCCAATAGTCCTCAGGATTTCTCACCGGCGCAAAAGCAAGTGGCATGAGAGTTCCGTCCATAAATCCCACCGTATCTTTGAAAACAGTATCCTTCATTTTGGATTTCAGTTCTTGTCGTTCATTTTCTTTGGGCCAGAACACCCAGTCCTTTTCAATTTGAAGGATCACATAAATACATCGATTCTTCCAATTTTGGACACTACCTTCTAAACTAATCAATCGGATCAGTAAATAGAATCAATGTTTACCAAACAAGACAGTTCACTAACCTGAAATGTGAAACATATATGCCAAATGTGAAAGATCACCTCCATTTCCCGAAGATCCCAGGTTCGCTAGAGCAACCAAAAGCTGCCATGGTACAGGGACTTGCTTGTGATGTGATTGGTTGTGAAATACACCACTTGATTGAATCAAATCGACTAATTTCCAAAATCGTTCCTCGCTCATTCGAGCCTACCAGTGAGAGTACAATATCCCTCATTAGCAGACACCAAGAGAAAACATCAGAAAGCAGACTTACTATACATATAAATGTATCACCGCCTTCCCAAAACCTTTGCGGAAACGCTGCGTTTCTTAAAACTTTGCGTTCGCGCGATCTCCGATCCTGAACATAGCGGGTTGAATTTAAAATTTTTAGAGCCTCTTCAAGCCGATCGAGTCCGTTTTGATTGATTTGACGTAGACAACGACCGAGTAGCACAAGCTTAACAGACTGTGCACTGGCCAAGTGGTATTCCAGCGCGGCCAGCAAAAACAGGTACAGTGGCTTCCTAGCCTCAAATCGATCATCGGCATCATGCTCATCATCTAAAACGGCCTTGGATTGTAAGTTTTGCTGAACGATGATTGCTTGAAGACACCGAAGGATGAAAAGGCTTTCAGAATTCCTCTTTTTCTGGAAAGCTAAAGTTAAAAGGTCTGTTTGTGACTGATTCTTCTTGTGAATTGCCAAGTGAATAGACCGTTTCAGAAGTCGACGTCGGCTTTTTCGAACCATTGCAGGAGGAAAGGCAGAGTTAAATTGAAATGCAAGACCGAGAAGTGCTGAGAGTTGAGAAAAGTGATGTGGGAGGGTGTTTGATGTGCGTGGTATGAGGTGTGTGCTAGCGGATGTGTGGTTGGGTTCAGTACTCAGGTGTTGGGCATTCTGGAGTTTGGGGCATTCAAAGTTCCAGAACGCCAGAACGCCAGAACACACCAAAAAAAAAACCTTCTGGCGTTCTGGAAAAAGTGTTCTGGAAATTTCCAGAACGATATTTGTGTACCACAAATCAAATGGCTAATTCGACATATATACATTTGAGGAATAAATACAAATCTTCCATCTTCATCGTCCTTTGTCTCTATCTATCCCCAAACAAACTATTTACAACATCTCCACTCGTGAAGAATTGCAAGTCAAGATCAAAAGACAAATAAGAGATGTAAAAGCACAAGAAATTCATCAGACCTTAGAAATCTTGATATGGGTGAATCAAAGCACCTTCAAAACATGTAAAGACTTGAAGCGTTTCTAGTGAAATTGATTCAACTAAAGATCTACCAGTCGATCAGATAAGGAAAAGCTATATACATACGTACGATAAACCATGGCAGTGCTAACTTTAACACAAGTCCCGCTAGCTTGCTGAAGGCTGAAGCGAGTCCTGGTGGTGATAAGGTCAATCTTTTTTTTTTCCTCCGAGAGGGGACTTTGTTTGTAATAATCAGCGAGTCCCACAAGACCGCGCCACCACCAGGCGCGTTCAGGACTCCTCACTTCGGCCACGGACTTATCCGATTATGTAAAACAGACAAAGCGCTGAGACTTCCATTAAGTTATATATATGTGGTGGTGGGAGTCGGGACTTACAAGGACTTACACCACTGCTTAAATGCCCGGATTTGATTGAGACTCATTGAACTTACTATATACTTTCATCAATCCATTCCTCTAATCATTTCTTACATCTTTCCTTTCTTTATTCCACTTTAATCACATGGAAGCCTCACCGCCTAACACCATCATACGTTCTTCTCCTATTTTATCATCTTCGAATATCATCAGTCAATCAACTTGGCAACCTATTAGAGAAAGACGAAGGTTAGAGTCAAGTAGATTAATCGATGATGATGATTGTGATGTTTTAGGAGCTTATCTAATTGAAGATACAAATCAAAGTAATTCTATTAATTCTCATGAGAATTTAGAAGAAGGCATTAGAGAAGCAAGAAGAGTGAATAATGATTTAACTACTCAACGTAATGTGGTTTTAGAATTCCTTTTACGGTAAGTTAAATCCCATCATCCTTGATTGTGTATCTGTGACAGAATCTCATCAACTCTTTCATAATGGCTCATTTCTGTTTTGATGTTTCTATCGGGCACATTTTCAAGGAGTTTACAAACTGCTCAAACTGAATTATCAATAGAAGTAGGAACTCATTCAAGTCAAATGCCTAGAATCCGATTACATCTATCAAGATTATCACCAGTACTACGTTCACCTAGAGCCATTGAATCTGAACATACTAATAGACTAGAACAACCCAATTCATATCATTTAAGTATGTTATCAAGATTAAATGGACTTTCACAACGTACTAGAGAAGTTATGCAAGATATTGATAGACGTAGAAACGCTGCTGGTTTAACATCACTTCATCTTCCTAAAGATTTAAATGAAGTTATAAAACCTACAAATGATCAACCAGATGAAACTTATCAGATGATTAAACCTTTTCCAAGACGAAAGATTCAACTTGAAGAAAGACTTTTGATTCAATGGTCTCCTTCTAATTTAGATCTTCATGGAATCAAATTACCTTCACTTTATGAAATTCCAAGAAAAGTGTTTAGAAATCCAGATTCTCAATCCATCAGTCGTTAAAGCCTTCCATTTCGATTCACTTTCTACCCTTTTACTTTCTTTCTCTACTTTTACACCATCAATCTCATTAATTATCTATCAATCATCAACTTGGATCCATCACTCAACTTAGAATTCTAGAATGTAGAACCCATTCTCATCTTTTCTTTCTCTCTCTTTTGTATTGTTTGGTTTGTACGTATATGATAGCATATGACTGTAGAGACACTTCTTTCGTTATGAGCATTGTTGTATAGTCTGTTTTTGGTTGGTTGAATGACAAACCCTTTGCAATCGCACTTGTCAAATATTGCAATTCGTGATCTTTGTGTACTATTGCAGTGAAGCCGTTGTCTTTTTCATATTTCTCATTCTTGATTATCTTCTTAGAGATCAATTCATTATCGATGCCTGTGTTTTTGATTGGGGTGATCAACCAGATGAACTGGTGTGCTTCACAAGTCAAAGACTTTGGGTGTTACCTCACAGTCCAGTTATGTGATATGATCATCAGCTACTGCGGGCGATCAGCCAGAAAGGTGCGATTTGTCATTTGTCCAGCTCATCCTTCAGCCTGCAGTTTCCACGAGGAATCAGTTTATCTAAAATAACACGCCGTCGGACTATGCCTCCCATACAAATATGGGTGTAGTAATGAGGGGGATACCCGGACTAAGCTAACTTGATCATTGTTCGTAATCTTTACGTTGTGATGGCCGGTAGCGAATAATCTTACAAATTTTAAAAAGTTAGTACTGGCTGCCAACTTCAAAACTCCAAAAGCGGCACATCTTGAGTTGGAAAGATTTCAAACCAACTCTTATAAAGATATCATTTACAATTTAGACCTAGGATATAATTGAGAGAGTTTCTTATACAGATTTTCAAAGTAATAAGAAACATCCAATTTAGAAAACAACCCAGAACCTAACTCATCATCATCTTTTCTATCCTCTAATAAATTATGATGATCAACCGTTTTAGCTTGATCATCATTTTTAAATTCACTTGCTTCCTCAAGTGCTAATTCAATTAAATCTTTCATTGTCCATTGTCCTTTGGCGTATCTTTCGAAATTAGGTTCTCGACCATATGCAATTTGAGCTGTTTCTATTAAGATATTTCTTGATGAAAGAATGTGATGGAATTGAAGGTCAGCACGTAAAAGATGGCTTTCAGATTAGTAAGATTGCTAGCACTGAAATAAAGGAAGACACAGTGTGATTTCTACTTCAACGGAGACGAGATCCTCGACCGGTAAAAAGATTCACGAGTCGAAAGTGCCGAGGAGACTGAACTCACGCTGTAAAACCAACGATGGGTGATACTTTACTTTCAAATTCAAAGTAACGGCATGGTATTCGTTGTGAAAACCAATGATTCTCATATGATCTCAAGTATGGGTGCTCCATGACGGAAGAGCGAGGAAAGGCGGACGATTCGGAGGGGGTCTCCATCGGGATGGTAGTGGCAGACGGGGCATCAGGCTCAGAGAGATCTTGATGACCTAGAAATTGTTCCAAGCGATGTGAAAAGAGCACGTCGACCTCTCGGGAATTCAAACGAGGCTAAGAATGACCAAAGTGACTTTGATCAGGTTACAGAGATAACTTCTTCATAGCAGGTATCCGGGTTTTGACTCACCATCAATGTCTGATCTGTGATAAAACACACCACAGGTGTGACGATCAAATAACCTCTGCTTAAGAAGGGCGTCAACATTGCCAACCTGCGGACTTTTTTAGAATTTCGCGTTAGGCCACACTCCTCATAAGCTTCACGACGAGCCGTATGCTCAAGGTCCACATCGTCAATCTCCATCTTTCCACCAGGAAGAGCTGTTTGACCAGCCTTGATGAAGAAGATACCAACGCAGGAGTGTTGAAAGAAGAACGAGATGATCAGTGGAGATGATCACAATGCGCTGTTGATAATATGAAGCACATGAGAAGGAAGTTTACATAAGTACGCATGGTTGGACTTCGTTTTGTCAAAAGAACGTTTAGATGACCATTTCGGCTAGCAAATAAGCCGACCTATTGAATTACAGGATTCAAAGTATCAGATCAAAGAGCTCTGAAGGTTCAAATCACTAAACAGGCCTTTAAGTTTAAGAATCTCCAGATGATCTCAGCTTGACAAATAGTACAATGCTTCTTTCTCCAAAGCGTACCATCACTGCCGCTCTACGCTTCATAGGAAATGTATCCGGTGGAGTTTGATAATTGACCAAACGTTGTAAAGCAGCGATTGAGTTATTCGAGAGATTCATGAGCTCAGTTGGAATAGGCATATCAGCCAAATTATGGTCTCGATCCCATTTTTTTAGAAAATGATAAAATTGACTGGTCCGTGATGTGCTTTTCATTTGCGTGTTTCGGATATGGCGCCTTGGATATCAAGCTTAGAGAAGAGTCTGGGGTAACAGAAGATAATGTGTGTATGATTTGATTGGCAAGAAAGGCTGAAGCGATCGACAAAGGAACTTGAACTTGGATCATGGATATTGAATGTCCCCAAACCTGGACGACCCCGACCCCGGCCTCGTGTACTTGGGTGATACGGTCAACCTGAGACCGAGTGCGTCAATGGACGTCACCGCCAAATATGCTGATTCCTGACCTCTCCTCCATTTTGAATAAATACAAGATCCAATTCACCCAAGAGAAGTCAATCCGAGAGTGTTGATACGCGTGTATGCAAGTCAACTGAAGCGATGCGGAAGAAATCATCACTTCAAAGCAATCCTTTAATCCAGAAGTCACAGAAAAACGAAATGACGTCATATATCTCGACTATGTGAGGTCTGTTGGCGTCGAACGAAAAAGTTTCAGTGTTCGGCAGGCCTGTTCGATGCTACGTTGACTCAAGCCGGAAACCTCTTTCAAATCGATCCCCAACGAGCTAGAAGCCACGACCGACATCCGGAGACCGCCTGAGTAAGACTAAGCGCGAACGCCTGGGGAAGTCAGTGATGCATTCAAGCTTCAGTTGGCTGAAGTCGATTCGAATAAGACCAGAATTGAAGATCAAATCGATTCATATCATGTTGGGATAAGTGTGGCGAGCCGTCCAACGAAGTTACTGCCTGGGTCAGCAAGGCCAGCCAGATTTGATCACTTCCATTATTTCTGATGGAGTTCAATCGCAATTTTTTAAACCGGCCTGGACTTAAGGACTTTCGTCATGACGAAACAAACGGAATTTATGTGTCATGATCTTTTAACAACAAAGGATATAAACTCCTCGATCTCTGTGCTCGCCTACCAACTTATTCCTTTCGATAGGAACATTTTCTCAAACTTAATTTATTATTATATTTTCTCAAGCGCTGTGCGCTGGTCATATTCTATAAACTCTTCATTCACCATATAACTGCCTTTCCTACCACATAATGTACAATTCCGCCTTATTTTGTAGTGTTTTGTTCAGTTTGTCCCTTTCACGTGCTCAACAGCTACCTCCTCAAGTACTTCCACCTGCGCCACAACAAGCGCAAGCACCTGGTCAACCTGGAGCAGGAGCGCAACAATTAACATTGAATCCTACTTTAGTTAATCAAGCTTCGCTCGCGACCGGTATTGAAGGAGGTGTTAAAGGTTTGGCGCCCAGTGCGCAATCTTCCAACAACTTTGTACGTTTTTTTACAATTCATCTCCACTCCAGTTGCTTGATCTCTAACTCTGATCCCATCATCTAGATCAACTTTTGCGAAGGTCAAACTTTGACAAATGGACAGATGAACGACCAAGGATCATGTAGTCCTATCCCATTAGGGTCTATTCCTTCCAAAGATCGAATGCCATCTGTTAGATTGTACGCCTCTGTTTTGTTTTTCGCATGTTACCTTACCAAGCTGATTATCTTTGATGGACGATACTTCTGGAAATAGCGTTGCCCCGGCTAATTTCCAACGAGTGGAGGCCAATCAGCCTATCGAAGTTCGAATGTCTATCAGGAATTTGAACGCAGGTTCGTATTTTTTCCCGACATCTATCCTATCCGCCCATATACTTACAAGATATTCGCGTTCTATCTGTCCACAGGGTCAGCAGCCAACCCCACGAACACCTATTATTCAGCACCCCAACAATTAGGTCCCAACGGGTTCATCATCGGTCATATTCACATGATCGCAGATAGAATTACACCTGGCCCTCAGCAAGCTCCCGATATTAGTCCAAAGGTAAATTCAGAATTATTTCTTGCCGGCTTTTGGACCCATCAAACTTTGCATCTAATCACGTGTTCCCATAGCCCGCCTTTTTCAAACCAGTTTCCGAACAGCCCGACGCAAATGGGATCATTACCTTTGCCATGGACCCATTACCTGATGGAGAATGTACGTTTGAATTTAGCTCTTCAAATTGAGTTATCTTCGAAAGGCTAACTGTTCTTTTTTCATCAATAGACCGTCTCACGACCGTTACTTCCTCGACCAACCACGCTCCTGTCATCCTCCCAAACCCAACACATGGATCTGTGGATGATTCGTGAGTTTGATTCCCTTGTACATCTCTTGGAACCTTGGCTCATCATCAAGAATCCGATTCTTGCAGCGTTTATATCTTCGTTGGAACTGCCTCCAATGTGTTACAAGCCGCCGCAAACGCCCCACCTGGTGAGCATTCAAATTTTACCCTTTCGCAAAAACGTAGCAAACCTCTTTCAAGGCCTCCCGAAACTGACGACCAATCGAAATCCAATTACATCAGCTCCCCGTGGAGGGGCTCCTGGTCAACCTGCCACCCCGGTGCAAAGACCTCAACGTAAATACCTACTTGTTTTTGAAACTTTTTCACATCCTGACACATTTTTTCCTCACGTTACAGAACCTGGTCAACCACCTGCACCTGGTCAACCACCTGCACCTGGTCAACCACCGGTACCTGGTCAACAACCCCAACCCGGTCAACCACCTGTACCCGGTCAACCACCTGTACCCGGTCAACCGGCTGCTCCACAGGCACCAGCTGGTCAGTCACTTTCTCCAGACATCTCATGAGTGTCAAAACCACATCCTAAAAAGAACGTCTATATCTATCTAACAGGTCAAGCACCAGGCCAACCTAGACTCAGAACGCGAAACACTCCTGGACAACCAGGTTTCCCCGGTCAACAAGGTTTACCCGGTCAACAAGGTTTATCCGGTCAACAAGGTCTACCCGGTCAGCAAGGTCTATCCGCTCAACAGGGTCTATCAGGTCAACAAGGTCTACCAGGTCAACAGGGTCTACCCGGTCAACAAGGTCTACCCGGTCAACAAGGATTGCTCGGTCAGCAAGGTCTACCCGGTCAACAAGGTCTACCTGGTCAACAAGGATTGCTCGGTCAGCAAGGATTACCTGGTCAACAAGGTCAACAGGCACAGCAACAACAGTTACAACAGCTTCAACAGATTCAACAGCTACAAGCTGCTCAAGCACAAGCCGGTTAGTCATTTCTTCCAAATATTTTACCTATAATCAATACACAGATTCTAAAACTCGCTATGTTTATTCAGGGGGTCAAATACCAGGTCAACCTAGATTTAACAGAAGAAACGTTATCTTGATGACATAAGATTCATAGATACAAAGCTCGAGTTGAAAATGTATTTGAAATTGCATGATATGTTATGATTTGAAAAGATGTTGTATTAGAAACTTATGATCAATCACTTAGACCCTTGAAATGATTATTCCTTCCATTTTACAAATACGTTTTCCGTGATTTCAGAACTTTTTATGACCCAGTGAACACTAGCACTTTGCCTTTGTCTGCGTAAGATTAGCTTGATCCAGAGCACAATTAATACGTATTACAACTTTCTTGTTCTTGAAAAAGCCAAACCCGTCCCGCAATTTCAATCCTAGTTATAACCTACCTATTCCCCGAGACTTGGTCCTCCTCACAGTGAATTGCCCACCAATAGTTGATACGTCATCCGATTGGTTCATATCCTTGAGTCTCTTGCCTCAGACTTTATTTATATTCGAAATATATTCACAAGACCAACATGTTTGCATTTTTCTCTACAAGCAGAGAATGTGAATATTTTTTCAAACCGCTGCTCGAGGGGCTTATAATTAGGTAATGTATCGTGGTAGTTCACATTTTTCAATTTTTTTCATTTACCCATGACTTTTGATTCTGAGTCTAAGACTGTACTACCAACAACATCAAAAATCATTCCTCCACCAAAATAGAGTAACAAATTTTCATAGATTTATAATGTGATTTTCGAATTGTAAGTATTTAACCGTACGTTTAATGTTACATTTATATCGAAAAGATTTTACAAGGAAAGGAAAGATTGTAAGTCAAATGTGAAGAGATCAATTTTTAGTAAAGTTTTGTATACTATATTTGATGACTATTTCATCATGAAAGCTACAATTAAATAAGAACAAAAGATAAACAGCAATTTTTCCTTCTTGTAAAACGGTGTACTCAAAGTAATCTTAAGATTCTCAATAGACTCTACGCGTCCGATGTGGTGAATCAAGCTATGTACTTATCTATGTAAAAATCTGTCAAATTGACAAACTCCAAGAACGTTCCTCCTTTCAAGTTGACACAGAATACATCGATGACTATATTTAAAAAGAAGAAAAAAACCAATTTCGCCGCGGTGAAGTATCATAGGCAGATGTAGAGGTTTGTAGGAGTTAAAGAGATTCATTTGTATGAAGTCAGTATATGCAGATAAAAAAAATTATAGTGTTGCGTCATCAATTAGGGGATACAAAGTAGAATCCGGGCACGTGCCCGGGCGCGTGCCCAGATTTTTTTTGGCAGTAAATTTGAATTCTGGGCCCGGACTTGTGCCCAGAAAATCAAAATTTACTGCCAAAAAAAATCCGGGCACGCGCCCGGGCATGTGCCCGGATTCTACTTTGTATCCCCTAAATGATTGGAGAAGGAACGTTCGGATCTGGTGAAAGATTGCAGCCTTCATGGCTCAGTGTTAAATAGGTATGTAGACGGGAAGGTTGTTGATATTTTGAACGCGGACCCGACCGCTCAAGAACGTGTATTTCAGCTTTTTTTCTCGCATCTGTCTCGCCAAAAAAACCCCTTTGTATTTTTTATGTCCAGACTTCAGACTCCAGGGGATTTGTTTAGATTTTTTTTTGGACCCCTCTATGTATTACGATTACGATTACGATGAGAAAGAGTTGATGATCAAAGTATTTTTCAAGTGAGTATATATATCCATCTACTTATCCATCCATTGGATTTTTTTCAAGATCATCAGGTTTTGAGAAAACTACGTCATTCTTAAATTGAGAGATTTTAGATACATAATTGGGACCCGAAAAGTTTTCAAAAAAAAAGGTTTGGTTGAAACTTTAGCGGAAGGAGGAAGTTGATGGTTTTCTTTAAGATCAGTAGAGATTTGATCAACTCCGCAAGAAATTTAATCTTCCTTTACTACAAACCAAAACATCAAAGATACATACAGTCTAACCCGCGCTAATGCATAATTTGGGGAGACTCACTTTCCTATGCAATTAGACGGGTTATGCTTTTTGACCTACACCCCCAAAATGCATAAAAATATGCATTTAGATTTTGGGGTGTATTGCATAGAATTATGCATTAGTACGGTTATTGTATTACCCCACTCATATGGGACAAGAGAGGGTGAAGGTGGGAAAACTTCAGTAAGAAAGTGTTTAATTTTGAGGACATTTGTTGTCTATTTAGTACGATATGTACAGAAAGAAACAAAAACAATTGTTTTCAAGAACATGCTTTATCAAGTACAATGTGTTACAAAAAACAGTCAACAAACAATAACTTTTGAGGACTTGTGCTTATTTGGTACGACATGTACAAAAAGAAAGAAATTGAAGTATTTTTGAAGGCTATCGATAATCAAGTGTTAGATATAGTCACACGTTGGAAGAAATCAGTTATTGCCACTTGTTTTTTGTTACCAAAAAACAGCTCGGACTCAAGCATCTCGGCATACTTCTGCAAAGAGTTGTCCAATTTGAGACCAGAAGCTGTACCAGTGCCCTCTATGTGAGCTAATTCCTTGTTTTCAGTAGCAGACATGATGAAAAAAGATGCAAATTGATCTAAGGGAGCCGAAGATCGTGTGAGGTGGGTGATATCACTTTGCTGATCATTCCAAAGCACAACTGCTGTTGCTTTTTGTCAGTATCACCACCACATCACTGGGTTTGACCTATGCAATACCGCTTCCAAGATATAATTTTTTTTGCTTTGACCCTATGCATCATGCAATATGCAATTAAAATCTTGTTTTGGCCCGCACCAGCGTGGTGGAGACCAAAACCTATGCATTTTGGCTGGATATGCATATGCGCGGGTATACAACAGCGCGGGTTAGACTGTAGATCTTTTGGATTCATTTCATGGGATTTAAGGTACTTTGTTGTGTAATTAAAGCGGCGGGGATAAAGTGATTTCAGAAGAGGATTATGATTCTTTTTTTTGGCGTGGATGAGAAATGGCGTGAGGGGTTACATAGGTGGTTTTATTTTTATTTTTATAAAGGAAGTTGTAGAACTCTTCATCATGGTTTGAAAGTTTGTATAGATCAGGAATCAGGATCATTAAGTTTTTTTGCAAAACCAAAGTGATTGTACAAACTCAAGTTGATAAAGCAAACTGTTTTGTGGTAGATTTGATTTTCCTACAAGATCGGTGTTGAAAACTCTTAAAATCTCCACTCTCATCACTTTGTGTATTTAAGGATCACGCGGTAAAGGTTTAGTAGACCTTCTCCGCCAATTGAAGTACGATTTCATTTATCTTTCAACTTTTTGTTCACCCAGAGAGTTCCACCGAGTATCATACATAATATGTTGTTGTAGTGCGGGGCATTTTTCTTGGGTGTCAAGAATTGTAGGTGGTATGTACCCACCATTACGCAATTTATCTGATTCGTTACCTGTTTCCAACCCAATTAAACATCTTCATCTTCTTTGTAAATTCAGATCATGGATGTACTTATCGAATTGATCCATATTTTTTTTTGGGACCATGTGGTCTGGAGATGATGAAATTTTCTCCTTTCCTTACTAACTACACCAACTTGATGTACCCAGAAGAATTTCTAATATATACAGTTTTATATTCCCACTATTTACGATGATGATGATGATGATGCAAGGCAACCTCCCCCCCCTCCTTCGAAAAAAAAAATTCAAGTCGTCTTTTAAAGAGCTGTCTTTAGACGGGGTTATCCAATTATGTATTGACATCGGTGATAAATGGTGTGGAGTTAAACTGTAAACACATGGTGCCCAGTGGTGGGGGGTGGGTTTTTTTTAGGCTTCATTTCTTTCCTCATGTTTTTTTTTTTCATCAGAATTCTTTGTAGAATCTCTTGGCGTGAGTACGACGAGGAGTTCTACACGAATTGTAAGGTTGTGTGAAGTTTTGGGGGAGAGAACACCCTTGGTTTTTTTTTATTTTTTTGTCTGATTGTCAATACACCACTTTCAAAGTTTTCTTTAAGAAATTGAATCCATCCATCATCATCATCTTTTCTTTTGTTACAACAACCAATACTATTGAATCGTTTTTTTTCTTTCTTTTCATTTAGATCACATCATGAAGTATTGATGGTATTATGAAGAAAAGTTTAAACAATAGTTTGATATATATAACAACTTCAAGGTTAACTCCAAGATCACTCATTCGTCTCAAATTTCGGTGAATCGGTACCTTGATAATTCTTGGATTGATTAAATTTGGTAACTCACTTTACTTGACTTTTTTCGGGGATCAATAACTTTATACACAACAATCAGGAGAGGAGCATATTTGGGTTCCATCATCATCATCATCATCATCATCTTGAGTGGGTTTTGATTTGTTTATATTTATATATGGTTGGTTTGCTTTAAAGATCTCCTATTACCAAATCTTTCTCCTATGTACATGTATGTTTTTAAATTTGAGTTTTAAGTTGAAGCAAATCTTAATTTGATTTGATTTGATTGTTTAAAATAAATATAAATATCAAACTAGTCTTGTTTGAATTTCAATTTCAATTTCATTCTCCATCTTCACTTTCTGATTTCTATCGGGAATTCTACTGCTTATCCTTCAACACCGCCAGTCCCCTCCTATTCTCAAGTCTCACACAGCCAATCCCTCACACCGCTTTGACACTGCCCTTGATACATATCTCATCACGCACCATTCAACTCCGGAGTCTCACTCAAGTCTCGGTGCTGCTTTGTAGTTATATAAATCACTCCTCTTCAAGTTATTTATCCCCCTAAACTCACCAGAGTAGTCTTCATTTGATTATTGATCGATTTGTAGTCATCATTTACATATTAAATTATTATCATTATCATCATTTTTAAACTTGTTTAGTAAAAGAGGAGCTTTACTTATATCTTACCATCTTATTATCTTACTCTTTTAAAAGGTTTAGAGAGATTTGATTACCAATTCTATCACCATGATGACATCAAAATCAACCACCATCACAACACAACCATCATCATCATCATCATCAACATCATCATCGACATCCGTACCAACTCGGATGACACATCGATGTTTGGAAAATCTTGAACTATTATACATCTTTACTAGTCATGTAAGTGATTGTTATCATCATCTTGAGTGTGAATTGAAGACTGATTGAATTGATGGTTTTGATTTAGTTGAGCACATCAGATTTAGTGAATTGTTTAAGGATCTCTAAACTTTGGCATCAAGTTTCATCTTATCATCTTTGGTCATCTAAACCATTATCGATTCCAAGTCTCAAATCAAATCATTTCTTAAACTCATCAATCCATCAATCAAGTTTGACTTTTCCTATCATCAATTCATTAAACATCAATCTAAGTCAATTCTCAACTAAATCAATCTTTATCAATCATTCAAATCAAATCAAATTTCAATCTATCTTTAAATCTATCAACTCAATCACTCTAAAGAATTCATGTAACTTGTCTTGTTTTCTACCTTCACCTTCAAACTTCAATTCGACTAGAACTTCTCTCATCTTAAACCATCGTCAGCAAATTCAAGAAGCTCGTCAAGAGTTTTATAAGACTTTGATCAATCAGATCTTGACACTTGAAGATTTGGTGGATTTGAATTTGATCAACTTTTTACAATCGGATTCGAATTCGTCAAACGGAAGAGAATCAACCACCAACACCAACCATCCTGATCAACAACCACAACAACCACAAGCGGAATCTAGTTCATCATCACAAAGCCATCCTCAAAAACAATTGTCTCATCAAGTTGACATCAACGACTTTCTGATCAAATTATCAAATGGATCTCAAACTACATCCCATCAAATCACACTAAAGTCATTAAATATCACGACCAATCATCACTTGACGGACGAATCATTAAATGCATTATCAAGACCTAATCCGTTATCCGATTCGTTTCAAAACCCACATCTATCATCTTATCTAACCAATCTAACGCTCATAGATTGTCCAGAGCTCACTCAAGAAGGTTTCTTTAAGTTTTTGAAATCATGTGAGAATTTAAAAACACTCAAGATTGGAAAAATGAATCAACTTTTTAAAGTAGATGATCTTCATCATCAGTCTTCTAAACCTTCGTTTGAGTCTAGAGAGAATTTAAACCTTTTTGATTGTTTGGCAAACCGTTGGAATGGTGAATTAAGTTTACTGATCATTCAAGATATTTCGGTTTTACTTGATACACCCACTCATTTCTCTAGTTTGAAAATCCAACTTGAGACCTTACATTTCGATCGATGTCACATCACATCTAATCTAATTAAATCGTTTCCTTCATTAAAACATCTTAGTTTATATCATTCTTCTATAGAAGATTTCACATCATTTGATTATTCTGATGCGGTTGAAGGTTTTTATCAATTAGAAAGTTTGGCTTTATCAAGTGTTGGGAAAAGATCATTTACTTATGAGAATTTGGAGAGATTGATTCGACAGAATTCTAACTTGAAGAAAATCCTCGTTGATGGACATCATCGTGCATCGAGGTGGATTCCTAGCGAATCTGTTGGTTCAGAAATGGTTAGTTTTCTTTCCCTTGGATCAGGTTTTATGAATTCAATTAATTGGTTTTGGGTTTTTTTAGGTTCTTGATCATTATCTAGATTCATCGAACCCAACCATTGATCGATCATCATCATCATCACTTTCGAGTCTCGAAAGCTTACCACCTTCAAAGCTTTGCTCATCAATATATGCACAAGACGATCTATTATCATCTAGAGTACCATCCAATCTATTAATGTACATCTTATCAATTTCAAAAACCCTAGAAAGCGTTGGTTTATTCGGAAGATCAGAAGAGATTCCTATCCAAGCTAAAGCAGAATGTATATCAAACCAAGAACCAGAAGAATCTCGAACCCGAAACGTTCTTCAAACCGTTCAGAATTGGTTTAGGAATCCTTCACAGATTAAGGTCAGGGCTGATGGGCTGGATGATTCGAGGGGTGATCGACAACTTGGGATGATCGATTCGAAGCTTGGGTATATGAGAAGTAGGCAGTTTTGGTTCTTTGGTTCGGTTGAACCGGTTTGGATTATGGATCGAGAATTGGAATTGGAATTGGAATTGGATGAAGATGAAAATGATCATGGGTTTGGGTTTGGGTTTGGTCACAAAAGGTTAATGAAGAATGAAATCAGATTATTGAAATCAAGGTGTAGAAATTTAATGAATGTTTGGGTATGAAATCTTGAGGACTTTTTTTTTGTTGAATCCTTTCTCTTTCTTTTCTTTTCTTTTTTTTTTCTTCTTGAAAGTTTTAGAAAAAGCATTTGTACTTTTAGTGTTTTCTTTTATCAAAACTGAACCTCCGCTGCCCACCAAAAAAATGAGTTGAAGGTTTACTTGGTTGGTTTATGATTCGAATTGAAAGGGTTTTAGTAAAAAAAAAAATCTACTTGAAAGGTTGGTTTTTTTTAAAAGGTCATGTGGGTTTTTTATTACATTGTTTTTTTTATTCACAATATACATATACTTGTATTATTTACAAAACTTTTTGATTGGAGGTTTTGATCTTTTACTTTTTTTGATTTTACTCTTTTGTTTATTGGACATCTTGAAGTTTTTGATTTGATTTTTTTTGTATTATTATGATTATCAATAAATATTAAAAGGAGTTTTGTTTTACAGAAAATTGATATTACAATTGAAGTGTTTTTATGCTTTGAAAAGTAACTATATACAATTTCAAGACCCGTCTGTCAAAGAAAAAAGCAGAAAGTTATGTGATGTCATGGTATAAAACTTTTTGAGTAAAGATGGAAGTTGGTGGGAAAATCAAAAGGTAGGCAAAGTGTGCGTTGAATCATGATTCATGGATGCCAGATGGGGTCTCACTCTCTCATGGCCATTACATCAATCGGATCATCTCCGGAGCTGTCGCAGTTGAACCGTCTTGACCAGAATCGTACGCTGGATAATTGATTTGTGAATGGAATTTAAACTTTTTTGAACTGTGTCAAATAAAGTCCTTGGATGTGCGACCTGTGCGACCCTCTCACTCTTCTCAACCGAACGCACATTCGCTTTGGTTCTCTGTCCCATTGTGACCAGAGTGAAAATCACCAGGTTTGAGATGCAACATGCAACAAAAGTCAAAGAGATTTAGAACTTGTTCTACGTTGTCTTGAATTGCTCATGAAGCTTCTCAATGTTCACAGGGGTCAAGTTAGTGAGACAAGAAAGTCCAGTTCATCAAAGTTCAAAGCATGTCAAATCGAGGCGTGGTTTACTCAGAATTCGTGGTTTTAATAATCTGAGGTGGGCATAAGCTGAAGAGGACTACAACACTAAAAAGGGAAGAACTAAGGCTTATATGGTCAAAATGCCTTGAAGAAGAGTAAAGGGAACAAAGAGCAAAGTAGGCAACATTTAAAAGTGGGTCCATACAAGAAAATCTCTACTCAAGACTCAAGTCAAACTTCAAAGCACCTGAAACCATCATAAGCAAAAAGATTTCGGAAACAACACTAGATCATTTGATCAAAGAAGTCTCATCACAAACGTAAAGTTTAGCAAGGAGGAGAAGTAGTGGCCTCAGTGGTGAGTTTTAGTATAATGCTATCACTGCCTTGACTGTTGAAGTAAACAGATCCATACTGAAAGAAGTCAAATGGGTTAGGAGTTAATTATACATTTCAATAAGGGTTGGTAAGATCACTTACTTCACATTTCTTGTTAAGGGCGTTCAAGTTGGTCAAGATCATGTCGCTGGTACTATATTGTAAATGTAATGAAAACAGAAAATCAGTTAAATTAGATCGATAACAGTAGATTGTAGTTTTAAAAGCTTACGCTTCAAATCCGGTGGGAGGTGCCTGTGCTGGAGGGTCACGGTCAATGCTAACCTAAAATAAGAGGATGACGGATGTCAATAGACGATTTACATTCATGGATCTCTTTGAGCGCTTCTTAATACACAAACACTTGAGATGTACTCACTTTTACAGATCCACAGGATTTCGTGGTAGCCATGGTGACGGTTGCTCCCATATTGTTGACCGCTCTAAAGGACAAGATGGTGATCAGATCAAGGATCGGAGCAGGAGTCAAAGAGACCGATGATTTTCATCGAGTGTGGTAAGGTGTGTGTGATGATAAAACTCACCTGGTAGACTGTTGAACGATTTCGTCATCCACGCCACCGGTCAGATCAGTAGAACACGCAGGGTTCTGAGTCGCGAAGGATGTTGCATGCACAACAGCCAAAGATAAGATCATAATCTTTAAATAAGCGAGCATGGTGTTGATTGGTAGATAATTCTTTAGAAAATGTATGTAGAAAATGACGAGTTTATGGATTGTGGAGGGATTATTGTATGATGACTGAAAGATTTATGAATCAAACAAAGATAGAGCTGATGAGGATAAGGAGATTGTGAGTTGAAGTCCAAGGTGGCCTTTTATAGACAAGACAAGACCATAGCCTCCATTCAAATGGTTGATCTCCAGCGCTGTCGTCAAAGGAGCACCGCAAATGAGTTAACCTTACCTAATTAGCACATAGAAAGTTTTTACTCTTGCACGCACCGCCCAGATTCTGGGAATTTATTTCATGCGCTCAAAGCGTGCGATAGTCAGCTTGGACCTTTCTTGAAGCGATGGTAAACTTAACAAAGTCCCACGCTCGCGCATCCTCGCGAGCCGTCGAGCGAGGGACTTAGAGCATCTCCAACGCAGGTTGGTAAACGTAACAAATCGGACACACACGTAAGCTGTAAGTTACGTTTACCAACCTTGGTCACAAAAAGACCATCCTGAAGTTTTTTTTGTATTATTATGATTATCAATAAATATCAAAAGGAGTTTTGTTTTGCAGAAAATCGAATTACAATTGAAGTGTTCTTATGGTTTGAAAAGTAACTAAATAAAATTCCCCTGCCGCCTGCCAAAGAAAAATGGAGGAAATGATATGATGTCATGGTATAAAACTTTGTGAGTAAAGATGGAAGTTGGTGAGAGGGCAGGCCGTGTGCGTTGGATCATGATTCATGGATGCCAGATGAGGTCTCACTCTCTCATGGCCATTACATCAATCGGATCATCTCCGGAGCTGTCGCAGATGAACCGTCTTGACCAGATTCGCACGCTGGATGATTGTTAAGAGCATCGCCACCCGTCCGTGTAAAACTAAAAATACATGTGATATACACAATGCGTGAGAA